GAAGAGGAACCAAGCAGGAAAGTGAGGAAGACAAAGAAAAGGTCAGATCTCACCACAGCTTCAGATGATTCTGGGGAGGGAACGGCTTTGGAGGCTCAGAAGAAGCCTTGCAGTTCCCTCGCCAGTGGCAAAAATGGAGGCAGAGGCGCACACAAGTCAGCAAAGGGCCCTGCAAACCGAGACATCAATCTCACGGTGCAAAGTGCTGAGTCTGGAAAGGATCTTGCCCTGAGCAAGGCATCGAAAGCCACGATAAAGAAGACGCCAACCTCAGTGACAGCAGGGGTGGGACCTAAGCAAGTGGCCACTCAGGAGCCCCCGAAGCCTGTTCCTAAGAGCCATCTGGCCATGCAGATGACTGAGTCCCTGAATGTCTTCAACCCACTGAGGAAGGACAAACCCCAGCTGACGCAAGTGAAGAAACAGCTCCCTCTGGCTCGCTCTGCTCCACAATACCCATTCCCACTGCCAGAAACATGGGCAAGACCCCTGCCTACCCTGCCAAGGATCCCTAAAATTTCGGCGTCTCACACAAGCCGTCAGCCACCCTCGCAGCCACCATCAAAATCTGTGGCATCCTCCATTCCGGCTGTCACCTACAGAGCCGGCAATCTTATGCCACACCTGCAAACCAAAGGCCTCCCCATCCCAGCTGTACGAGGCCCCTGGATGGAGACAGGCAGCCGGCACCTCCATGAAGACCAGCGCTCCCCTTCCTCATCCTCCCATGTCTGGGCAAAGTCACTGGATGGTGGCCACAAACACCCAGACACCCTTGGTCGTTATGCGATGGCTTTGGGGGCACAGAAGAAGCCTTGTAGTTCCCTCATCAGTGGCAAAAAAGGTGGTGGAAGTGCCACCTCTTTTGACGACATCGGAGGCCCGTCTCAGGAGCCCCAAGCCAAGAAAGACGTGCCCATCGCAAGACCCTCTCAAGGGAAACCAACTGAGGCACCAGGCAAGCCTAACGTCAATACCAAGGCAAAGAGGGGGAAAAGCCCAACAGGTGAAGAGGAACCAAGCAGGAAAATGAGGAAGACAAAGTAAAGCTCAGATCCCACCACAGCTCCAAATGCTTCTGGGGAGGGAACGGCTTTGGGGGCACATAAACTGTAAAAAAGAAGACGACAACCTCAGTGACCAACACCCAGACAACCTTGGTCATTTTGCGGTGTCCCACAGAGCCCCCTGATTCTTCCACATTTATAAGGGACACTTTCATCCCGTGGAGAACACCCCCTCCTGACCTGCAAGTCTCAAAGCCCATCACAAAAGAGCAACGACCCATTAGGAAATAATGAAACTTCAGGCCCAGCGGGAGAGGGAGGAGGCCACCAACTGGACCACAGTGGGGGTGAAGTACTTAGTGGAGCAGTAAAAGGAAATGGACCTCTCTATCGCCTAGGGCGATATCCTTCACACATCAAAAGAGTAACTACCTTTACAAAGGAAAATCTTCTCCATCAAATTGCTGACCTTAACAATGAACAATGCATTCCATTGGTGGTTGGTCTCCATCCAGCATCTCAGAATTATAGCAGAACAATTAGAGAAAGCTGAAAAGGGTCATCATAACTCAGAAGAGATTTGACGGCACACAATCATTATCCATTGTGGGCATCAGCATGCATCCAGTGATAGCATTATACTGGCATCCCAAAATACAGAAATTACTTGTCAGAAATATTGTCAGACACTAGTCAGCCATCCTGGGTCATACCATTGTGCTTCCAAGAGCCCTGTTACATGCATATTTCTCAGGATGACAGTCATCTTTAATTAAGAGCACCATGAGCAGCAGGTATTCTTAATTAAACGGAACATTACCTGTAGGGCCTGCAATCTATATCACTGTGTGCATACTGCTGGGATGCCATCTGCAGTTTATGGACAAAACAACAACAATCACCCTACATACTGACTTCAGAAACCACAAATCTGCAATCTTGACCAAGAAATTGGAACAACCAATGATTAGATTGAGCAACTGTACATTGGAGAATTAGCAATATATGTCCACATTTATTCTTGGGGCCCATCAGTGGAGACTTTAAAACAGTGGTTCTTAACCTTGGGTTACTCAGGTGTTTTTGAACTGCAACTCCCAGAAACCTCAGCCAGCACAGCTGGTGGCGAAGGCTTCTGGGAGTTGCAGTCCAAAAACACCTGAGTAACCCAAGGTTAAGAACCACTGCACATATTCGGTTCCTGCACCCTTCAGTGTTATGGATCAGCACTGAACAAAACCCTAAATAATGATCTGACCAGAAACAATTCCATTCTTATTAAGACCAATATGTGCAAAAGCAGATATAAACATCTTTCCCCCTTTTTCTAATGAGATTAATCCTCTTATCCACAGGAAGCAGGAAGAAGTGTTTAGTCAGTTAGATCCTTTTTTAATGGTAGTAATTGCTGGCCTTTCAGGAGAACATGGCTGATTTTTCTTAATAAAGGGGCCAGGTGAAATAGGAGCAACAACAAGAACAAGATAACCCAATAAAAAGTAATTAATAATCATAAGCTTAAAATATATGGGAAATACATGTATAAATCTTCCTTAAACATATCCACTGATTTCAATGAAATGACTCTAAATAAGAGCCAACTCATTGCTTACACAGGGCTTTCCGTTAAAGTGAAATGTCAACGAGTGAAAAGTAATATTCAGGCAGGAGCTTGAAACACTATGTATAAAGTAGAATAGAATAGCTAAATTGTAAATATTTGTTTTAGCAAAAGCAACATAGAGAATATCTTAAAGAACTATTTTGTGCATAACAAGTGCAATAAAATGCTCTTACTTATAATATCTTTGACCTCCTTGCAACTATATCAGCTGAACAAGCTCTGGAAAAAAATGCATAAGTCAACTGTTCCTGTATCTGCATTGTTTATATGACTATGCGGCTTTTCTTGATTTTTCTTAAAATGTATAGAGAGATAGTGATAATCTCAAGGCAATGCCAGCAGTGCTCTCAACAAATCCTCCCAGATGCTGTCTCTGCCAGGCACAGCTCAGACTTTTTATTCATCTCCTTTGTTCACATTCTCCTCCAACAGTTGGAGGTGACTCACATTGCAGGTAGGCTGGAACCTCCAGATGTTAATTTATACTCATGGTCTGCTATTGTTCAAGCCCCTTCACTGCACTTGATGACCTCTGGGTGTGTTACATTACAACTTCTCCCATCATCCCCAGCCACATCGGTCAAGGGAGATGCTGGAAGCTGTAGTCTCCTATGTCTGGAGGAGCTCTGGTGCTGGAGAAGAGGAAGGAGAAAAAAACAGAAGAGACACACAGTTGCAAAGGCATTGTTCTGAATCAGCCTTGTAGACTTGACAAAACATCAAAGGGATGAAGAACCATAAAGAGATGGTATTAAAAAGGCTTCTTTGTTCACTCTCTGAAGAAGGATGAAGGCACTATGACTAGGTCTTGTCATCAGAACAAGGAGGAATATAAGCATTACAATACCGGGAAATTGACAAAGCAATTTCAGTAAGAAAAATGGCACGGTCAGTTTCGTTTTCCCACTTTAACCTGGATGAGTTTTACTGCTATAGGCTTTTCTCTCTCTCTTTTTTTTTTTTATTTACCAAATACAGTTTTTCAAACATCAGACTATTTATCTTCATTAAAATAAAAGCATGAACAAAGACCAAAACCTACGCAAAATAGGTGATTCACCATTGGAGTTTTCAATTTGGTTGTTGGTTTGGTTTTGATTATTCCTAGAAAACAGTGGAGGGGGAGGACTTTAATGCTGAGGTGAGTTGCTGTGCTGAGGGAGTGTTTACCCCTTTCTCCTAGCACCATTTCCCCAATATATATATATGCACATAGACACCCACAAATGCCTATCCACACCCACACTAGCCCAGGAGTAGGCAATGTGTAACCCACATGCCACGTGAAGACTTCCAACTGCAGACACCCAGCATCCCCACACACATCTCAAAAACATTTTAGCTCAGAAAATCCCCATGTGCCCTCTAAGGAGGTGTGGAGGCAATTTTGCCAAGTTTTGTGGTGGCCCCAGTCTTTCTTCCTGTGTCCCTCTTTTAATGTTTTCTCTTTTTTTAATGGTGATTAGAAGGTGCAATAAGCATTTTCAGTAATCGCACAATTTTTGCAAATAAAAAGCTCTGAGATGGAACAGATGTGGACCCCAGACCATAGGACTGCCTGCACTCTTCCCTGTGTGTTTGCATCATATATGCTTTCCCACTCCTCAATAGGTCTTTGGAAAGGTAAGTTAGAATGGGAAAGCTTCCTTCCAGCACTAATGGTCTGATCAGTGGGTGGGACTTCCTGTCCACTGATTCCAAGGGGGTGGCGGTGATTTTATTGTCATACTTCTTACAGTGCCATAACTGCTCATACTCTTCTCACCTGATATGGTACGCGACTACAATTTGAGGGCCAGTGTAGTGTCATGGACAGAGCATAAGACTGGGGCTCAGCAGATCTGGGTTCAAATCCCTACTCGCCCATGGAAACATACTGATAAAACCACCCCTTAAGTACTTCACATACCTTGGAAACTCTACGAGCGTTGCTGTAAGTTGGAATCAACTTCACAGCACATCATAGGCATAGAGAAACTAGACAACAGAGATTCATGATCAGATCCCTATCTCTTTAAATTATAGGAAATAACAGCTTCAGAGCAGCTTTACAGACAACAGAGGAATTCAGAACTGAATGGTAGTTTTTGATGGGGCTTGTAGTCCCCTTTGTATATAGCAGAGTGCACAATGGCAGAGAGTAAAAGGTAAAAGTTATTTTAAGCATAATTTACATTTAAGACATGTGATTTAAATATTAATAGTCCAGAAAATATAACAGCTTTTCATTGCTTATTATTTGCTTTTAAATTGGTTGCTTGCCGCCTCTATAATTTCAGGGCTCATAAATCCTTTAACAGTTTCTTTTCTGTATTCTCTCACCCATGAGGAAATAGCCATGCAGACTTCTCTTACTTCACCAGACAATATATTTTCATTCTGTTGCTTTGTTCTGCAGCTCCTTCATCTTCTGTAGCTTGCTTGCTTGCTTCCTTCCTTCCTTCCTTCCTTCCTTCCTTCCTTCCTTCCTTCCTTCCTCCTCTCTCCTGCCAGTCTGCTTCTTCTGCTGCTCATGCTTTCACTCACACATACACACAAGCACACACACATGATTGGCTGCTGCTGCTGCCTTTATACTGATCTTACTCAGAGACATTCAGCGTTTCTCAAGGTTAATCAACTCATCAGTTGCACTTTCCTGCCTTTCCCACTTGTAACTTTACTGAGCGATATGCTCTCTGTGATATATAACCCCAACAGTTCTCCTAATAAAAATTGCCTGTTGACATTGCTATTGTGTCCTTTAGAAAAGGCTACATATATTGCCGTGGAGGAGTCAGTGAGGAGGATCAACTTGAGGCCACCACAACACCTCCCCGCATCCCAACTAACAAAGGCTTGCTACTGTCATGTGGCAGTGCCAGTATGTGAGGAGAAAAAGGGCAGGGGAGTAAGTCTCTTCTCATGGGGCCTGGAGGAGATGGCCCGCAGGAGAGGTCATAGACAGCACACTGAGAAGACACTGGGAGAAGATGTTGGGGGAAGACAAGTGGGACTCTGGGGGAGAGGAACTGCCTACAGCATGTGGGACACAGGTTGCAGTGCCACAGAAGCCACCCAAAACATATGCAGCAAGCATGGGAGAGCCCTGCATGAGGAGGCTGGAGCCCAACATTTAAATGGAGAAACCCCAGAGGCCTGAGGGGAGGAGGAAGACAAGAGGGATAACACAAACAAGGAAACAGAGGAGAAGACCCCCAAACACTTCATGCTGAGACTGCTTGTGTCTCTTTGAGGATCTTTCCCGCTACCACCCCACTGAAGGCAGGGATGAGGTTGCTCAGAAGGAGGTTGGCCCTGGAGATGTGTCAGCTTACCCCAACCCAGAAGAGGCAGTTGTGGCAAAAGAGACCTATTCTTGCACCCACCTATCCACATGTCTGCTCTGACCACTACTAGAGTTTGACAGAGAAACTGGATGGAGAAATTTTGCTTCAACTTAAGAACGTTTCAACTTAAGAACACCATTCCAAAACCGATTAAGTTCTTAAGTAGAGGTTCCACTGTAGTTTCTATGGATGGAAAAGAGTAGATACGGATTAAATGGTTTTCAATGCATTCCTATGGGAAATGCAGATTCAACATAAGAACTTTTCAACTTGAGAACCACCTTCCAATACGGATTAAGTTCTTAAGTAGAGACCCCACTGTACTAGAGTCTGACAGAGAAACTGGATGGGGAGGGACAAGACGACTGTACAGCTATACAAGGTTTCCTTGGTGCCTTGAATCCTATAAAGCAGTGGTCCTCAACCTTGGGCCTCCAGATGTTAATGAACTACAACTCCCAGAAGCCTTCACCACCACCTCTGCTGGCCAGGATTTCTGGGAGTTGAAGTCCAAGAACATCTGCAGGCCCAAGGTTGGGGACCACGGCTATAAAGGATTAAACATGTGAACTTTCTCCCTTACTCTGGTGCTGCCAGGTTGTGCTGAGTCCAAGGCCTCACCCTCTTTCATCAGACCTGCACTGGGGCACTGATATTTTATGTATCTCTTCTTGGTGCTGCCAGGTTGTGCTGAGTCCAAGGTCTCACCCTCTTTCACCAGACCTGCACTGTATCTCTTCGTATTCTGTTCCCTCAGGTACCCTGCTGATAGAGGGAACCCTCACAGGAAGAGTGAAAACTCTCAACCTGCCCATCCAGCCAGGGTGTTGCCTGAAATGGGAAATATCTCTAGGGTCAGACGATCTAAACGATGCACACTTCATCATGATGTATTCTATGCAACCATCCAAGAATAAAAGTATTTTTCCCATACCAGTATAAAAACAGGAAGCCAAGCTCCTGCAGAAAAAATGTCCCAGTTTACATTCCCATCATTTGGATTTCCCTCCCACCATGCCAAGCTTTAGCAATGGATGTGCTTTTTGCTGTGATTGGTGAAAAAACTGCTGTGGGGGGCCCTTCTCCATTTGCAAAACCATCCTCTTTATCCTCCGGTGTTTACATTTCTGCTTCTAGTCCCTGATGTGGTTTCATCTCCTGACCTTCTGGGATAGTGGAGTTCTTCCTCTGCAGCAGGAGAATGGAAGCTCCTGCTGCTTATCTTATCGCTATCACTGCTCTGCCATTGGATTCGTAGCGCATCTTCCTTCTTCTAGTATGGGAACTCAGCTTTTCAGTTACACACAGAGGATGAAGAGAGACAGTACATTGTTGCTACATAACCAATGAGTATTTTACTGACTACCCACCACCCAACAGGAAAAACGCACTCTTCTCCAGCAGGCAACAATCAGACCAGCAACTGAGAGCTATGCCAATAAAAATTCAAATCACATCAGGAAATCATCCATAAAGACAGATAGTGCTATAGCACCCATCAACTTCTATCTTATTTTGAAATAGAGGGGCTCTTTTCACCTTTGCAGAGGAGAAGGAGAAATGGCAGAGTCATCTGCGGCAGCAGGGAAAAGGAAGAAAGGAAAGAGGAAGGAGAAAACATAATAAAAAGGCAGCTAGCCAGCCAGCCAGCACAAAATCAAGAAGAAGAAGAAGAAGAAGAAGAAGAAGAAGAAGAAGAAGAAGAAGAAAGAAGAAGAAGAAGAAGAAGAAGAAGAAGAAGAGGGAAAAACACAGATCTTCTCCCCCTCCCTCAGACAGCAGATTTAAGAAGGAAAATCCAATCCCTTTAAGAAGAAAACCTTGTTCTAAAAGCTTTGTGCGACTTCTAGTTCTTCCCTTCTTCTGATGACCCTCAATCACTCCAATCACTTTTGAATTTAGACCATGAAAACTGGGTAGATTCCATTCCCTTCCCTTTTTTGTGCTCCCATCCCGGCTTCCAAATCATTTGCCTTTTCAGCATTTTCTCCACCTGAATAGAGCTGCTGATTTCCAACTCCAGCATCCTGGTCGGTTTCATCCTAGTTGCTGAGCAGGGGAACTAAAACAGGTCAGGACTGGAGACAGGGGAGAACTGGTTTAAGTGCTAAGGGTCTAAAAAAACAATGCTTTGGTTTATTTACTTTATTTATTCATTAAGCACTAGTGTTGTCACGTCCTCAGTCCTCTTCCCCTATTGCTGCATTTCAATCTCTGGTCCATGTGTCTGTGATATTTTGGTTGAAGGAGCTGAGAAAAGAGAGAAAGGATTACATCTGGAGCTTATTATCTGCTTTGACTTAAAATAAAATTGGGGATGTATCTTTTCCAGCCAGAAAGTGATGAGAAAGTGCTGGCAATGGGACTGAGAGGAGGACCTCCTCTGCTGATCCTAATTGCCAAGAAGGTGCATACAGGGAGATACGGTCCTTCAGGTAGCCTGGACCCAAGCTTTATAGGGCTTTATAGGTAATGACCAGCACTTCGAATTGGGAAACAGAAATGGACTGGTAGCCAGTGCAGTTCTTATAACAGGTGTGTTATGTGCTACCTGTAGCTGGCCCCATTCAGTAGTCTGGCTGCAGAGATTTGCACCAGTTGAAGTTTCTGAACCGTTTTGAAAGGCAGCCCCACAGAGTGCGTTACAGTAATCCAAACGGGATGTAACTAAGGCATGTGTCACTGTAGCCAGATTCGACATCTCACAGTATGGGCGCAGGTAGTATCCTTATTCCCTCATCAGCCTTCCGACCGACCAGGAGCACCTCTGTCTTGTCTGTATTAAGTTTCAGTTTGTTTGCCCTCATCCAGCCCATTCTGATGCCAAGCCCTGGTTTAGAGTCAAGACAGCTTCCCTGGGATTAGGTGGAAAGGAAAGATAAAGTTGGGTGTCATCCACATACTGGTGACATCAAACCCCCAAACTCCGGACAACTTGTCCCAGAGGTTTCATTTGGATGTCAAAAAGCACGGGTGACAAAGCAGAACCCTGAGGAATGCCACAGGCCAATGGCCAGGGCATTGAGCAAGAGTCACCCAGCACCACCTTCTGAGTTCTCCCCTCCAGAAAGGAGCACATTAAAGACCAAACCATTCTCAAGTACTTTGCATTACAACAGGGATATATTCCTCCTGAGAAAACCCATTTCTCTCCCAGGTACTGTGAAGATTACAGTGAAGCTCACAATGAACAGGGTAGTGTGATGGGAATAAGGCCACAGTTTCTGCTATTCAGAAAATCCTGGTGTTTTGATCCCGTAGGACCCAGCTCCACTACATCACAGCTACTGACCTTCCAGGTTCTGCTGCTTGAGGCAGTTGTCCTGTTCTGCTAAGTGGTAGGACCAGCCCAGCTGAAGGAGGGCCTGATGTTCTTCTCACTCCATGGCACAGAGACATATGTTTGTAAACAATGATGGAAGCAGCCTCTTGAACGTACGGTGGAATATTTTCATCCTTACAGCACGATTAGGTATTGCTAAAACATGAGGTGGCTAAGCTATTCTATCAACATACATAGCTTTTCTCATGATACAGCTCCTGAATTTGTATCCTCTCACACAGAGACAAAAAAAAACTGATGCAGAAGCTTTCACTGAATGACAGACAATATCCTTGCTGCTAATTGGTGTGGCAGGAATAGACAGAGCATTAGGTGCGGCAGCACCACAGGCTGGTTGTTTTTTTAATTTAGCATGAACCTAGCATGGAAACCTTAGGGAAGCTAATGAACAGGATCTGTGTGAGAACAACACAAGTGGGCCTCTAGTGTGAGGCTATCTATCTATCTATCTATCTATCTATCTATCTATCTATCTATCTATCTATCTATCTATCTATCTATCTATCTATCTATCTATCATTTATATATTGGCTGAAATCCAGTATTAAATGGCAACTAGAGTAGACCCACTGAATAAAGGAATTTATGGAGCAGTTGGCTCACCAAATCCCCACTAATTCAATCTTGTTGAAATGCACTACCAGATTTCAGCTGTTGACAATCTGCTGGAGCCAATCAGCCTTGCTTAACCTAGCAAGACCAGCAGTGCCATCTGCTGGAAATACACAGGCATAACTTTAAAAAATGTAATTGTCACAGTGATTGAAATCTGCCAGTGAAACTGTCTTATCCTGAGCAGGAGATTGATCCATCTGGACCGTCACTGCTTATTTTTATTATTCACAGCAGCTTAAAGACCGTAGAG